CAGCGGGCCTCGGGCTGCGGCTGCTGCCGGCCCTGGCAGCTGGGGCGCGCCCCGCGGGCGCCTCCGAGCGGGGTCCGGAGCTGCGGAGCGCCGAGGGAGGGCGGGCTGAGAAACGCTCAGGGGAGCAGCTGGGCACAAGAGCGAAGCGGCCAGGGAGGCGTGGGAGGACGATGACAACTAAACCCTAGACTTTCCATTTGTTGAAAAGCCTCTTGGAGTTACTGACGCTTTGGGTGAGCTGCTGCTGCGTGACAGAGTTGACGGGAGGTGTAAGGTGACACTCCAGTCTGAAAACCTTAGTTCTGCCCAGACGCATGGCGAAGGTTGGGCTTAAATTCTCGGATTCCAGACACAAATACTTAAAATTCTCGGTTAATTTTTTGTTTGCACATTAAGTTTCGTAACATAAAACTCAAGTACCTTTGGTACTTGTGGTTATGCAGTTCCTGGTATGCTGATGCGTAAAAAAGATGCATAGTGTGTGGTTGTATAAGCATGTGGCATTGTTAGGAAGACCTTTGATGTCTGTCTTACCCTCATCTCATTGTTTTGAAGATTTCTGACATACTTATTGAAAGCAATCATGACCTAGCTCATTCATTATTCATTTCACTGTGGGTCAGGGAGGGAGTTGTGTGGATTAAATTTAAACTAATATTCTGATTTTTTTCCCCCCTATGCTGTTTGCTTTACTGATTAAAAGTTTGGGAGATTTTACTGTAACTACGTGGGAAGTCAAGTTTTGATAGTACACATTAGCTGCACTTCAGGTATGCACGCTGTTGTACACCATACATTGTACACAGAAGGCAGACTTTCGTGCTTTTCAAATAGTAATCTGCATGGAAAAGTTGACTGATTATACTGTAGTCTCACTTAAAATGTTTTAACTACAGCTGAATGCTTACATTGCAATATTCTTAGGGCTAATACGCTGTCAGTGATCGTATTGCTTAAAAGTCTATAAAGTGTTTTTCATACTTAAAAGTAGGAACACAAAACCAATTCAGCTAGCCACTCTTACCTCTTAGACTATTAATATAAATTAAAAAAAAAAAAAAGAAAAAAAAAAGAAAAAAGAAAAAAAAAAGTCAAAACTTAGTGGAGGGTAAAAATACCTCAACTCCTTCCAACCCATGACTGTAAGTCAGTTATTTACTGGGTGAAACTGGTGTTTGAGTTGTAAAGCCTCTGGAAAAGTAGAAAGAATCCAGACTGGAGCACAGCACATATTTTGTGTACTTAGACTGCTGAGGTAGAACAGTTGATAGGGAAGGTACCCTAGGAGGTATGCTTTGCATTCCCATACATATGGTGTGGAAAGTTACTCTGTTTCTCGAAGAAACCTCGAAGTCTTTGGGAGCTGCCACTGTAGCGCATTGTGTATAGTGCAAGTGCTCCCTGGAAAAAGAGGAACTGTCAGCAAAGCAAAGGAAGGAAAGGTCAAGAGACCAGGCAGTGGGATAGCATGTGTTAAGCAATTACGTTAATAGGAAAACGTTTTTGTGCCTGACTACTGCTGAGTAGTAAGTGGAGAAAGACTCTGGATCCAAGCAGACTTAGTCATGTTGGAAGGCTTTAGCTGTGAGTTTGTTGCTTTTGTTGGAACTGTTTGAGTGAGTACTGCACATATTTGTTTCTGTGAATGTTGAGATGAGTATCTTAAGTAATTATGAAAGGATTAAATAAGTAAACTGCAAATAATTGTTTCAAGGAAAATACGATTGTACTGTCAGTATAAAGTCATCTGCTTGAACTTTGTTAACTTCAAAGAAGTTCATAGATGTTATGTTTTTACTTCCCATCAAGATGCCATGCTGCTGCATGTTAAACTGATGCCTAAGCGCAAGTCATGCAGGCCTTTGGGTCAGCTCTTAATACAATGTATTTATTTCTCTCCACTCCTATTTTAAGAGCTTTAGAAAACACTTTAAAAAGTGTGAATGAAGTTGATGCTCCTCCAGCATAGGAGGAAAAGCTGTCCAGAAAATAGGGGTATTGTGTTTTTAAGCAGGTAATTGTCACGTATTAAACTTGTCTAGTGATTTGCAGCGACTTGGAAGTGTTACAGATATAAATAGTAGTAGTTCTTCATATACAGCTCTTGCAAGGGCATGTTCTGCAGCAAGTGGGCACTGATAAGCTTGTGCAACACTGCCTCATCCCTCTCCACCCCTACTTTTTTTTTTTTTTTTTTTTAGCCTAAGGCTAAAGTTCGTTATTTAACAAGCTTTCAGGGCCCAGATTAATACTTTTCAGCTGAAGTGTCAGCTCAGTGGTTTGGGAATGAACCCTGCCCGTAAATCACCTCTCGCGGATTTCCTGCAGCGCAGGGGGCTGTCCCGAGGAGCTGACCCCCTGGCAGCCACACCCCGGCCCCCTCTCTCCGCCCGGCTGCCTTGTTGCGGAAGGCAGGCTGGTGCTTCACGTGCCTCCCTGCTCAAGGAGGGCCCTGGCAATCAGCCCTCCTGGCCCACATTTCACGCCCTTTGGCAGGGACCCGCCGCCCCGCAGGGATGCTCGGAGCAGCTGCAGCAAGGGGAGGGTGAGCTGTCTTACCACACCGGTGGCTTGAAACTTTAGCTGATTGTACTGTCTTTGAGTGTTTTAATAATTCTTATGTTTGGTCTCTGGCCTTTGTTCTTTAGGTAATTTTGAATAGGGGATATTGGGTGAGTATGCACTGTCTACCTGGGAGAGTATTATTTAAAAAATATAAACAATTTCTTATTGTTTGTTTGCAGAAAGTTTAAAAATGTACTGAAGGAACTACGTGGGCATTCTATGCGGGAATTAAACTTCTTAGGTTATTGAAATGAAGATGTGGCAGTAGCAGGTACCTAGACTTTATTAATGGCAATGAGATAACAATAGCAGGAATATTATGGTAACAATACCTGGAACAAAACTGCACAGCTGGTGGGATTTGCCATAGCTGCACCATCATTTTGTTGCAAAGTCTTTAGAATTATGTGGCTATGCAAAAACAGTATTGGTCAATTGTCCCATGTAGTTCAAAATGTTTAAAACTATGTGCAAAGATTCTTAGTTTTGTATTAGAATGGGAACAGCAAATGAAAATGTATTTGCCTGTTCTAAAGCGCATCCCTAAAAATTTTGCTGGGGCCTTTTTACACAGACAGCAATAAAGTACAGAACAGTTCGTGCTGAGATTGTGTGATTTGGGGTTTTTTGCAATGTAAATACATGTGCTTACTTGAGCTGCATTTTTTCTTGGATGCTACCTGAGATACACCTTTTAATTTTATTATTATAAAATTATTTGGAATCTGACCTAATGATACAGTGCTGCTCAGTGATGGCTAAGAGAGTTCTATAGTGTTAGTTAGTGGGAGTGTGAGGAAAAGCAGAATGTCAGTTTCCCAGGTTTCCCGCTGTCACTGTACCTTCATGGCATAATCTCAAACCCATCAGTTTTGTGGTCACCAGTGAGTTATCAAATGCCTTACTCTGTGTCCCATGCACAGATGAGAGATGGGGCTGCCTTGTCTGTTCTGAAAACCAGTGCACACCTCGCTCCCTGTATTTGAGCAGTGCTAAATTGAGCATGTAGGGAGAAAGTTATTTTTTCCTCCTGCTGCTCTTTAGTCTGATGCAGATTTTCTTGTGTGTATGTGTGTAACCACTCTCTTTCAGACGCGTGAACACAAAAAGATGCTGTTTTTTTAAAGAAACATTATTTGTAGCAGATGCAACAGGATGGACATTGGCAGTGGTAATTATTTTAAAGACTAAGCAATGTTTCTGCAAACATAGATAATAAACTTTGGTCTAGCCCTTTGTGTGAGGAAAGCACAGTACTAAGCTCAAAGAGCTCACTGCACTTTCTAGTTCTTGGAGTGCATTCCTGGGTGTCTAGTGTAGGCATTCTGGTGTGCCTGGGAGGGACTTCAGCTGTTTGTCAGCAGCAATCCCATGCATTTATGAAGGTTATAAAAAACTGTGGAGGTCATTTTAACTGCAGTGTTAGAGGCATACAGAAGGCATAAATCTCATCAAAAGCATTATTTTTATGCTCATGTTGTGTGTATTCAAAGTCTTGCCTGCTTTTCAAGGATTTGTATTGACTTATTTTAGTAAAAACAAACCAGGACTTTGACTTCAGACTGTTGTAGCTGAGGAGGATGGTAATAATATTCTCTCATTCATACCCTGTATCCAGGTTAGAAAGTCTGTTGAAAACCTTGTGTTCAGCTTCTCTTTTTTGGATGTGGTCAGTGATTCACTAAAAAAATTTCTTGGAAAAAGGGAATCCAACTAAAGTCACACTGGTTTCCTATCAAATGTAATATCCTGTTTAATGAAAAAAAAAAAAAAAAAAAAGTTACAACTTTTTGTAGAATGAGTTATAAGAAATTCTGAGCAAGATTGTCCCTAGAAAGCTGCAAGCTCTTTCAAAGACTAAGTTGCATCTTAGGAGTTTTGTTTGGTAAAGTACTGAACTTTGCTCAGTGAGTAGGATAGGTATGATTGTTTTTGTAATCTATTATAAATGTTTATTACTTTTTAAATTTCACCTTAGTCCTGTTTAGAGTGATAATTTAATACCAAATTCCCCTCCATGTAAATGTGTATCTACTTCAAAGACATTAATGGCTTCATAAATTGCACCAGCATTTTAATTTAAAGCATTGATAACTTACAGGAGCGTGGACAATTGTTTGTTGAATTTTTCAGCTTGTTTGTCTTTTGTGTTTATCTGTCTCCAGAAGTTCTTTTGGTGACAATAATTGTGTTGCTCTCCCTCTTTGAAGGATTTCAGATTTTAGTTAGGAAATAGCTACACTGTAAGTCATTTATTCTTCTATTCTTCCATTGTAATCATCATAAATTAATCCTTTTAGCTCAGTAGCAGTTTGTTGGGTTTTTTCTTTTGACATTTCCTGACTTGTCTAAGATAGCTATAACTTCTTGTAAGTATTTAGAGACTGTAGTTGTCAATGGAAGGAATAGATATTCTAGTAAGAAGTTCCTTTTTAGCAAAGTAATCAAGAGAAATGGTGTTTGGGGGAGGAGGAGAAAACATGGTGGAAAACTTCTGATTAGGAGAAGGAAAAAAAATAATAGCACTTGGTGTATTTTGAGTCTTTATATTGTGGTCTTTACTGAGTGTAGATGAGTATGTTATCATTCTTCATTTAGTTATGAAGGCCATATATCATCTGCAGCTAACTTTGGGGATCTTGATTATGGTTACCTTCAATGACAAATGATTGCCTGGGGAAGTTAATGACATTAGTTACCTGACACTGCTGTCACCCTAAACCCTGTATTGCTTCATATTGTCAATGTAATGACTTTA